CCCACACCTGATCTTTTTTTCAGTTCTATATTCAAGGTAACATTAAGTATTTATTAAGTTTCCCCATATAGTCAGTGCTATTCTGTTTTCATGGTCTTTATTCACAAGTACCTTAAAATACACTTAAAAAGAAGAGACACATGTATAAAACATTAGCAAATAGCAGTGTAGTACATAACTAAGTAACTAATCATAAAATATAGGTTACACATATTCATTAAGAAAGAACTATCCGTGGGGGCAAGGGGCAGTCAGGGATTGCTTGATAGAGTGTGGTGGCTGTTGGGACTCGAAGGGAGACTAGGACTTGACACTGTTAAGAACAGTCAAATAAATTATGAAGAACAGAGACAAAAAGAAGTTACGGTAGAAAGGCACTAAAAGTAAGGTATTACTAAATTCTTAGCATGGCAATATCTTTGGAAGGAAAATTAAGCGCAAAAACTGAATGTTTGAGGAGTTCAAATGTGCTCATACTGCAGACTCTCTTGAATAGAGAGAGGAACGTTAGAGACAGGAAAAGGTGGTCTACTTGGTGTATATTGTCTCAATGAAGAAAATGTGCAAAAAGTATAAATAACAAACAGTTTTTACTAGAAAAGTCCACTTAGGAGAACTTACAAAAACATATAGAAAGATTACATGGCAAATCCAGGAAATGTTTGGGTTGTTGTTAGCAATACTGAAAAATGACATATCTCTCCAAATTGCTTTCCTATAATCTTCCATAGTCGTGTGACATAGTTACTCCACCTTTCTTAACTAGAGTCCCCTGGTCCCACTGAAATGTCTCTCCATTTCCCCATCATTTTTCTTCATTCTCTGGAATATTTTCATTTAAAAGTCACATCTTCCAGGGCCTAGCTGGTAAATAAAATCTGTGTAAATACAAAATTGTATAAAACATTAGAACCTAGTTGTGTGCCGAAACCAGCTCCTAGTCCCCGGGAGGGCTGACTGTGTGCATCCTTTCTCAACTACATGTACAGAGATGTCATGTTGGAAACCTGAAATTAACTATCACAGGAGTATTTACACCATGAAAACCGTCAATGCTACAAATCAAGGGGCTTTGTTGGTTGGTTTGTTTGTGTAGAGGAGGCGGGCATGGAGGCAAAGGAGGGAGAACAGTGTGTTAAACACTGCTTAGCACCACTGTTCACAAATACATATTTTTCCATACTCTTCCCAATTGCTTTCCTAGTCAGCTTTTATGAATCAATCAGAAAAATAGTTATCTATGGAAAACTTAAACTGGTTAATGCTGCTAGAAAGCACAAATATAAAATCTCACAATCTTTTCTTGTCAATGCACATAAAACACAGACAAACTGTGAAATCCGATATGCTCACTCACACAGGATTTTTTTCACTACTAGGTATCCCAGTATTCCCTGGTGGAAACACTACAGGAAGCAGAGAAATCAAGACTGACTTCCATGACAATTCTCCAATGCCAGAACAGATATTCTGCCAGGAATAATCATCAAACAGCAAATAATAAGACATTTCTAACAAGAATTCCAGTGGCACGTGAAATTGTACGTTTGGCAAATATTCCAGATTTTAGGACTGGGATAAGAGCAACAGTCTTCAAGTGCAACAGTCTTCAAGTGCAACTCCATAAATTGCTCTTGCAGAAACTTTAATAAGTCTAAGAGTACAATAGACCCAGCTAAAAGCTGCCTGAATAATTTTCTACATGTAATGACATCCTGTCTGACAACAGGGTATCATTAAATAAACAATGACTTGAATAAAAGAAGGACCTTGAGCTCCCAGATTTGCAAGGAACCTCCTTCCATGTAGACTTGAGGTGACATCAACAAAGTTATGGCATATTTATTTTGAACCACCTCAGTGGAAAGCACATTATTGACGGTCTGTATGTCACTCATTCATTTGTTCAACATAATTATTGAGCTCTTGCTATGTGATAAGCAATGTGCCTGTCAATATCTTTCCCTTAGTGAAATATAGTCTAACAGCAGAACTGACAACAAGCAGTTACAAATCAGTTCAGGTAATGGTATTTCACATAAGAAAGAGAATGTGCTGCTGGAAAACTGAAAGAACTTCAATAAAGAGGAGAGGCTGGAGGGAGCAAAATTATTACAAAGCCATATATAAATTTTTGGGGGGAGAGGTTTTTGCTATAGGGTGCGTGCACTCGCCAGATAAACAAAGAGAGACAGAGGACAGAAAGCGAGAAATCACCCCCCAGGGGGGATGGCCACGCCTCAATCCCTTCTCCTCCATTCTTCTCTCGGGATCTTGGGCACGCACGTACACGCGCCCGGCGTGAGTTTAAGCCACTGGGTCCGGGACTCGAACCGCGGTCGACTATGTGGGAATCCAGTGACATAGCCATTACGCTAACTGCTGGTCCCACAAAGCCATATATAATTTTTTTTTAAAAAAGAAAGATCTGGGAGCCAGCGATACCACAGTAATGCAGCTGAAACCATATGGAAAGGTCGTGTGTTCACAGGCAAAGGCTTTCACATACACAGTGGGCAAGTAGGCACAGCCCTGAGATTTGTGCTGGCTTACGGCGGAGGGTAGAATGTTATATAAGGAACCTTTGGAGAAGGCCAGTCTCTCTCTCTCTCTCTCTGTCTTGCTCTTTCATGGAAGAAATAAATAAATAAACATTTTTAAAAGTAAGATTTGAATTTCTTAAGAAAAATGAGAAAGTATTCAAATCTTTTATGTTTTTACCTGCTATAACTGAATAAAGAATCAACTTTTATTTTAGAAAAAAAAAAAAAAAACTAGATGCACTGAAAGGTTAGAGGGTATAAAAGAATGGAAGGTGATTACAGATACTAGAGACTACGTAGAAAGAGGGTGGGAGAAGGAGAAGACTGTGAGGAAAGGAATCAAGGAGAAAGATAGAGAGGCAAGACATTTATGGTACAGAAATGGATGATTATCTGTTGACGATCACATGCATGTTATCTTCAACTGGACTGTGGTGAAATGTATTGAGGTTGGGTAACTTCAATTTGCAAGTTGTAGTGATGTACACTGATTGAATGTATAAAATACATTCTAATAATAAAAGGAAAAGAATTACATGAGGAGTCTTCAAAACCCTCATCAACAATGCATATTATGTCAAAGCTATGCATAAATATCACTTTTTTGCACCAATATAAACTCATACTTTAATTACATTTTTTTCACAAACCTGTGGAAGTTCCCTCATATAGTTCAACCACAGACTTAGCCTTAATATTTTAGTAAACTATAATATTTAGAAAAATGTGATCCCTGTTGGGAGCTAAATCTGACTGACAGAAATATGAACATACTCCCAAGAATTAGCTTACCAAGAACACAGAATTAGCAACTTATCAAAGCAAGAGCAACTGTCACTCTGCCAAAACTTGCATCATTGCAGATGGTTAGAGGAGGTAATGTTTTAACAGGGGAATTCACCCCACTCTTTGTTTCACTGTTCTACAATTAACAGAAATAAGTATTTGGAAAGGTTTTCTGAGGTACTCCTCTTACTTCAGTGTCCTCACCCCACCCTATACACCTACAACACAAGAAGAGGAAATATATGGGGTTTAAAGCCTCACTGTACAATGACCTATAGCGTTCATACCCAGAGCCCAAGACTGAGTCATCTGAAAAAGCATTACCCTTTTCTCTGTCTGAAGAGTCCATGGTAGAATTTTCGTTTCTAAAAACTAAAGTAGCCTATTTAAAATCTCTGCCTGCTATTTTTCCTTTCCATCAATGGTGCAGTGTCTCATATCATAATAGTTTACCCAGTTAACCATTAAATTAAGAAGACACTGCTACTTTACAAGAGAGATATCGAGATACTGATTTAGATTTCTAATATTGTATTCCTTTTTAATATTCTATATATAGGGAGACTGTATTTCTCACCTGTGCCACAATCTCTAAATTAGTCTCTTTTTATTTCTTTGTACATTTAAGGATGCACACAAATGAAGTCTTTACATGGTTTCACCTACTCTGTGCATTTTATTGAAGATATTAGTTAAGTGATGGTAATGATACTGATGGGGATGATGACAATGGTGATCGTCATTCTGGAAGGCAAGTTTTAAAGTGCCAAGAATTTGGATTAATCCCATAGCAGTGTGAAAATCAACATAGCTCTTTTTTTGATATACATATTCTGAAACATAGTTCTATTCTCATTTGCCAACCACATTTTACATAGTTCAAAAAAAAAGCACTATAAAGGGACCACCCCTTGGGGGTGATTTCTCGCTTTCTGTCTCTATGTCTCTCTCTGTCTGGCTGGCGAGTGCACGCACGCGCCCTATGGCAAAAACCTCTCAAAAAAATTGAAAAAAAAAAAGCACTATAAAAAGAGTTCATGGTATCTGTAATTGGTCAAACACGAGCTGTATACCAGAAGTTACATTATTTTGTAAATCAAATAAGTTCTTTATTTCTCCAGTTCATATATCCTCTTACATAAGATAAGAAAAGAAGTGATTTTTATTAAAAGTGTTAAATGAGACAACATGTACAAACTACTTAGTACGTAGTAGGTAAAAATACATATTCTTCCAGCAAAATTTGGAGAAAAAGTAGAGTTACTGGGGCCCACAGGTGGTGTGGTGGTTAAGAGTGCTTGGCTCCTACATGGCCAACTATGGTTGAAGTCCCTGACCTGGCGGCTTACTTTCTCACTTCCTCTCTCTCTCTCTCTTTCGCTCTGTGCCTCTCTGATCAAATTAAATTAATAAAGAAATAAAGTTAAATAAAATAATTATTTAAAATAGAGTTACCACAAACTTATTTTACATGTCTCTTTCAAGACTGTTTTAACCTAGAGACCTAAGAACTGTTTCTAGTAGAAACATTTTCTGTACATTCACTATAATAATTTCATTGTCCTTAATATTCATATTCTCTGAAATTATCACTAATTTAATATAATGTATTATAATTTTACAATGGTTAGTTAGCCTATATATATATCTTTGCTACTTATAGTATTATACCTTGAAACTATTCCATTCTTTCTGTTGTTCATTTTGCAAATATTCACTTTTGACATCCTCCTACAAAAAGATGAGATTAATTAAATGAGACAATATTTTAAAAATTACTTATTTTGAATTGTGGTTCCAACTTCTAGATTTATATTCAAAGCAAATCTTGAACATGTACATCTATGGGCAGCTGGAAAATGATAGCAAAAGAGTTGCAAAGGCACATAGTAAAAACAAAGTGGATAATGTATTTGGGCAATCTGTCAGAAATAAAGAGTTAAGTCAGAACTTCAAGGACAATTAGGGTTTGGACTACAGTTTTATTGGTACTTATAATGAATAATTATCATATATATATATATATAAGTTATATTTATGTAAAGTGAGACATACAACACCATCTCTCCTCTCTCTCTTTCTCTCTCTCTCTCTCTCTCTCTCTCTCTCTCTCACACACACACACACACACACACACACACACACACACACACATTAAGCAGTCTTCTGAAGCATTATTCCTATCAATAACAAAACAATTTTATAAAATAATAAACAAAAGGGATGTTCCAGCAACCTAATGGTGAAGGGAACTGAATTTCACATGGTTGACCAACATTTGAATCTTGACCCCTGTGGCTTGAAAACATCTAGGCATGTACACGCATGCATGCCCCAAATCATGATAGGTAGATAAATGGAGAAGGGATGGTAGTGTGACCATGCTATTGGGAGTGCTTTCTCCCTTTCTGTCTCTCTCTCCATGTCTATCTGGACAGGTCATGTGCTCTCTGGCAAGAAAGAGAAAAGAAAGAATCAAAGAGAGAGAGAAAGAAAGGGGGAGGGAGAGAAAGGAAGGAAGGAAAGGATGGTGACACTAGACCTGTTCTTCATTTTTCAAAAAAAGATTTGACCAACATTATCTCTATAGCAGGGATTCTCAGCCCTCTCAACACTGCACCCACACTAGTCTGTGACCTGTTAGGAACTGGCCACACAGCATGAAATGAGGGTGAAATAGTGAGTGAAGCTACATCTGTATTTATAGCCACTCCCCATCATTTGCATTACTTCCTGAAGTGCACCTCCTGTCAGATCAGCAGGGGCACCGAATTCTCTTAGAGACCTCCAGATGATACCATCCAGTTTCAGGAAACAAGTTCAGGGCTCCCAACGATTCTGCATTATGGAAAGTTGTATAATTTCTTCAATATATATTACAATGTGATGATAATAATAGAAATAAAATACACAATAAATGTACTTGAATCATTTCAAAAACATTCCCTCTGCTCCCAGTCCATACAAAAATTGTCTTCCCTGAAACCAGTCCCTGGTGCTTAAAAGGTTGGATACCATTGTTCTATAATATAATGTAACATTAAGACCATTGTTCCATTTCTTTCTGTTTATATCATTTTTGTTTTATTGCTTTTAAATTTAAATTGTGAATATGAGTAAATATAAATTTACATATATGCTGAATAAATATTTATATTTTACTATGTGTATCAAAATTTAAATTTAACAACTATCTTACTAATAATCTCCCCCCAGAGCTTTTAGTTATTGAACATGAAAGGATATTTTCACATTTTAGAAGAATATCTACTACATTTTACATATTTAGAAAGACTTGATTAATAGATTTCTTTTATTTTTTTTAAGAGAGATTTTTGCTATTGGGTGCATGTGCTTGCTGGAGAGACAGACAGAGACAGACAAAGAAAGAGAAATAACTCCATGGGGGGATGGCCATGCTTCAATCCCTTTTCCTCCATTCTCCTTGTGGGTTTGAGGGCATACATACACACACATCTGGCATGAGTTTGAACACGCACACACAAGTACTTGGTATGACCTTCAAACCTCCAGGTCCAGAACTCGATCTATGGTCAGCCATGTGGGAGTCCAGCATTGTAATCATTATGCCATCTGCTGGTCCCTCAAAATAGATTTCTTGGGGCTAGCACTTAGTATAATAGCTATGTTGCTGGACTCCCACGTAGTCGACCACGGTTCAAGCTCCAGACCCAGTGGCTTAAACTCACGCCGGGCACATGTGCGTGCGTGCCCAAGATCCCAAGAGAAGAATGGAGGAGAAGGGACTGCAGCGTGGCCATCCCCCCTGGGGGGTGTGATTTCTCGCTTTCTGTCTCTCTGTCTCTCTCTGTCTGTCTGGCAAGCGCACGAGCCCTATAGCAAAAACCTCTCAAAAAAAAATAGATTTCTTAACCAGAAAAATTAATGCACAATTTAACATGCCAATTATTCATATTAAAACCCGTAATAGCACCTCATCACCTATGGACAATCAAAATAATTTAAATGATAGTGAATTTAGTTCATACACGGTCACATATAATAAGAATTAAAAGGCATAAAATGACAAGAGCATATTTGTCTTCTGGAATATGTTCTATCACATAACAGTAAGTTTTCAGTTGTTCACCATGATTGAACAAAAATTTGTCATAGTTAATTTTAAAAATCAAATAAAATAATAGAGGATAAGTCACATGATTTAATTATTTTCAGCAAACAAACAAACAGCCTACACAAAACATAATTGAAACATTACATAATTCACCAGACATGTAAGAACCTGTTCTTGTTGATTATTTCTGTGTTTACTTTAGTGTTCAGAAAACCCCAGTTTATGATTCCTGGGTGATAAATACTGTATAGAGCTCCTTTTGTTTTTACTTGGATAACAGTGATAGTTTGGCAATCCTTTTTGAAATCATGCCTGCAATGACTCAGTGTGAAATGAACTTTAGGACTAATTGTAGTGCATGTGGCATTTTTAATGTTATTATTCCTCATATAAGTATAATCTGCTGGATAACTTTGCATTGTAGAATAACTAATGACCCCATTCTCTTTTTGGCAGTCCAAATAAAACATCTATCAGTGAAAACAAAAAACAGATGTTCAACATTAGCAGATGTCCAGGGTGAGACACTGAACATGTGCAGGGAGTGGAAATTCTAGATCCTCTCACACGTGGGAGAAATGCTGACTGGTGCACGCAGGATTTCCAAGTAGCATCATCTGGTTTTCTAAGAGTAGAATTTCATTCATATATTAGAAAATAATGTCCTCCCACATACCAGTCTTCACAGTGTGCTGAAACGTTTTATTTTTCAAATAGATTATGATCAATGAAATTTCTAAACCATAATTAGTTTTATTATTTTTATATTATTTCTACAAAACAACAAAATAAGCAAAGGACCATCATCAAAAACTTTCTCTCTGACCCAATTCCAAATGGCTTTCTCCAGTAAGTCATCTCAGTGTGGACTTTACTTGTTCGAGTCAGGTGGTATAATTGACATGAAACTCTATTTCCCTTCCCCATAGAGGCTTTGTGAAGGCAATGAGCTAACTAATTTATCTTTCTATTAGTAGTGCCTAAGATGAGGAGATGACAGGTGCTCAATAAATGTGTGCTAACTGAATGAAAGAGTACACCGAGTCATTTTACTTCTTGTCTTCTTTGCCTTCTTCCTTCAACTTTGCCTCCTTTCCTCCCTCTTCCCCCTCTTCCTCCTTCATTTCCTCCCTCTTCCCCCTCTTCCTTCTTCATTTCTGTTTTTTCTTTTGTTCTTTTCTTTCCTTTCTTTTATGTTTTTGGATGGGGATAACCTCACCTAATCAATGCCACATTTAACAATAAATAAATATTGAACTGTATTACGGTGCTACTCTAATCTCTTTATCAATGATGTTTTAGCCAATGTTATTTTTCAAATTGAGCTATAAATTACACACAATAAAATGTACTTTTCTTACATTTTGTTTGGTAAGTTTTAACAATTGTTTACATAAAACAAGATAAAAGAAACTATTACTTTGGAGAGTTCTCTCAGAACATTTTTCAGTCAAACCCGTCTTCACAGAGATGATCGCTGTTTGATTTCTAGCACCATATAGGTCAGCTTTGGCTAACGAACTGACTAAGTGAAATCATGCAATATATCCCTTGGCTCAAGTTTTTTTCTCATTACATAGTATCTATAAGATTCTTTCATGTTGCTGTATATATTAGTTTGTTGCTTTTGAAAGGTAATATTCCATTATACTAATAAACTAAATTCAGTTGGTTCATTTTCTTGTTGATGAATAGTTCTGTTTTTTTTTAAATTATTTTAATATTAGGACTTAGACTTCAAGGGACATTCTTCTAAATGCCTTTTTTGTTGTTTTGTTTTCATTTCTTTTTACTTGAGTTAAATAGTCATCAGTGGAAGTGTTAAGCCATTGGGTAGATATAAGTCTAACTTTCCAGTAAATAGCAGAGGATTTCTCCAAGAAGCTGCGTTATTTTACGTTAACTCTAGCAATGTACAGTAGTTCTAATTATTCCTCATCCTATGATACACCACCTATATCACGAGTCATGAAAACCTTCTGTCAACTTCTAGAAAATTTCTGGCTTCTGAGTCTTATGTATAATAGAAATATTTGGCCTGCTTGAAATATATATTTTTTCTAAATAAAGTGAGTATAAGCGAGGGTAGAGATAGATCATTTATTTTTTCCATAGTTGTTTTCAGCTCTGTTTTCCTTTTCTAACCTTTGAATTTAGCCATTCTTGAGAATATGAAGTAGTATTTAATTGCAGTTTTACATCACATTTCCCCAATGATTAATGATACTGAATACTTTTGTGTGTTTATTGTCCATTCTCATATCTTCTTTGAAGCCTTAGTTCAGGTTCTTTGCCCATTTTATATTTGGATATTTTTATCTTATTGCTATTACTTTTAAGTAGTACTTTGCTTATTCTACATATGCATCTGCATTCATATTTATGACTATGTATAATTCTGTAATATGTGACTTTCCTATAAATTGCATTAGTGTCTTTTGATAAGAAAATATTTATAATACTGATGAAACCCAACTAATCATTTCAGAAATGTTTATATCCATGATTTTTTTCAGCTTAAGAACTATTGTTTACACCAAGGTCAAAATATATTCTTCTATGTCTTATTATAGAGTTATGGTTGTGACATTTATGTTTAAATAATTGCTGTGTCTTGTGATCTTTCTTTGTATAA